AGCCAAGGGGTGACCTCAAACGCCCAATCCTCTTGCCTCTGTGTTCTGAGTGCCGGGGTCATAAGCGTACATGCAGTGTTAGAGTCTGAGCCCAGGGCCCAGCGCACACTAGGCAAGCCCTCTACTAACTGTGGTACACCCGGCGTGAGATTCTGTTACTTTTAATTGGGTCAAATTCAGTTGCTCTGACACACTGGCTGTTGCCATTTCCCCAGGGATCTGTGGCTGTTGAAAGCCTGCATGAGGGCGTGTTTACTCATCTGTGTAATGTCGGCCACATTTCCATGAACTGATTACAATGTGACTATAACCACGGGTTCCAGGAAATCACAGAAATAAATTTACCTTTGCTCTTAAGCAAGCCACACCCAAAAACTTGGTAGTTGGCTTAAGAGTATAAAGTATCAATTAATGAAGATTAATTTGTCTTCAAGGACTAGAAAATGAGTTTCTCACAGGCCTCAGTTGGACATTCATAAAAGGGCATCAGCCTCAGGGCACAGCATGGCTGTGATTGCCACAGCTGCCACCATTTGCTGCCATCAGAACGGAAAAGGAAGAAAGTTTGTCATGAAGGCACTGGTGCGTCCCACTGGCTTTTCAGAGACGGTTTAGGGAAGGCGTTTTCTCTTACAGTGGGTTTTGAGATGTGGAAACTGTAAAGGCTACAGGCATGCCCATAAGTCACCCTGAGCCTTACTTGGGTTGCTGTGCCTCAGCACAGTGCCGAGCTGGTACTTTCTCTAAGAGCCAATCCCACTTGTTCTTCAGCAACTCATGTGCTCAGAAATCATAGGGGAAGTTCATCTCGGGCACGCAGCACCACACACAGCTTCCGGCAGCAGAGCAACGGGCCACAGGCACCGTGAAGTAGACACCTGCTGTCTTTGAGCCCTGTCAAAATTCAGCTGTACCTTTTGAGGTCTCCCTGGCCTTTGGGAAGCAGATCCACTTGAGAGAGACAAGATTGGGGTCACTCAGGCCAGGGTCATCAGCTACATCCCTCTTTCTCCTCTCTCACCCTTGTTCCCATTTTTATGTCAGAACACCAGAGGCCCCTTCTCTGCACTCACAGCCTCTTGGGAATTCCTTCACTTCCAGGCCTCTTGCCAGATTGCTTTTCAAGTTTCCGCCACACAGTCTGTGTGTGGATGCTGAATGCAACGGCAAACCCCATGACTCACTGCGACACAAGCCCTACCCTTCCCTCTGTGCCCTCATCGCCACCACCCCCACAGGGCCTAAGTGCCCAATTCCATGTGCAGAATCTGCTAGTTTCTTCTGCAGGCTACTCCCATTGGAGCTTCTGTGGCCTCCTCTGGTCTCCCACCAGCACCTCTGATAGGCCACAGTATGACCATTTCTGGGCCCAGGACCTACCTTCCATGCCCAAGCTGAAGTGAGCTTCCCAGAATGCAAACTCACTTCTATCCTAAGGCTTAGCTCAGTGGTCCCCTGGGCCTTCTAGAAGACAAGGTTCAGAACCTGAAACAGGTCCCCACAGCTCCCTCCCGCAGCCGCCTGGCTCTTCCTGCGCTCCTCCTCACTCACCCTTGTTCTCTTAGTGCCAACAAAAGCCGTGCACTTTGTCCTTCCACTCCAGTGCCCACTCCTCTCTCTTCGGCCCTCTTCCACGGCTGCTCTCTCCTGGAGTGCCCCCCCTCCAGCTCTCTCGTCCCAGGGCCCTGAGGCTTGACTGTTGGCTTTCCCGTAGTGGGGTTCGCAAGTGAGATGGACACACCCATAAGCAATCATATTTCCACAGCTCCACTTCTTGAGAAGTTTGAAGCCTAAAAAGGCAGAAGACAGAAGGCCCCCCATACGTCCCCTCCCCCCTGCCTCCCCCCTCTGACCTCACCCTAACTCTGATGGTGGTGTTCCACTCCTGAGATCCGACTATCATGTTTCTGCTATAGTCTGTCATCTACTATAGGAGTCACATTGGATGCTGTGCACAAGGGTGGGGACAAGCACATATTGCCATGTGCCCATCATTATCGTACCCGGAAGCTCTTCCATTACCCCAGGAGTCCTCTGTGTTCCTTTGATTCATCCAATCTTAGAAACCAGTGTCTCGTTTTACCTTTTCGGAATGTCGCATCATGCAGTGTGGAGTCTTTAAAGACGGTGCCACTGCCTTGTCTGTATGCAGGGTCCCGTCCTTTTCGTGCCTAGATAGCTCCTCCCTTCCTAAGATTGACGCTGAAGTCACAGACCCGTATCCCCCCTCCAAAGTGCTGGGAATGAAACCACAAAGCTGGCTTAATTGCCAGGAGCTCACTTATGCGCCTAGACAGGGCTTGCTTCCCGGTGGTCCAGCCTCTCTGCATGCTGAACTTAATTCTGCACCTGGGCATCTCGGGCTTGGAAAGCAAGGATTTCACTGCTACTGGAAAACCCCGTGTCTTGGAGCAGAAAAATAAGGAGGCAGAACGGAAGCTGAAGTTTTCCTAGTGTTCTGGGAAATCCACTCAAACAGGAGGAGAAACGGGGACCCAGAGCAGAGTGTCTGTGATGAACCAGTGCCATGACGATCAACCCCGGCATGCGTGCAGCAGCTGGTGAATGCCAGCCCTGTTCTGTTTCCAGACACGGTTCCTGCGGTTTGGGTCCCTCATGTTCAAGAAAGTCAGCACAAACACTGAATTAGGAAATACCGAGCTTTTGCTCTCGAGCAGAACCAGTTTGAGAAACTCTGGTCTCATTTTGTCAGCTGATCACGATATAACCTTGCTTTGTGTGATATCGATTGTTAAGGCTGAACGCACGGCTACAGCAATCATGCCTGAGTCAGGTCTCTCTCTGTCTTCCCAACACGTACCAGAGCCTGTGCATAGGAGGCCTAGGTCGGACAGATGGTCCTTGGCTCATCAAATAGTGAAATCACCACCAACAACCATACCTGAAAACCGGGGCACCGAATAGTCCTAGAAGGGAAGTCTGTTTGCAGTATGAACAGACAGCCTCGTCCCACTGGATCTCAGCCAGCATACTGAGGTATTCTAAACTTTTCACCACTCTGACCCTGTTCTTGAATGATCTGCAGGGTGCAACAAAGATCGATGGGTGTAGAACATTAGCAAACCCAGACCCCATAAGTAATGGGGTGATTTGGGGGTTTCCCCCTCAGTCCCACTAACAGCCCTGCAAGGCAGGAATAAACATTACTTTTACCTCTTAAGTTTTATTTTTATTTATTTATTTATTTATTTGGCAAGCCAGGGTCTCACTATATGGCTCTGGCTGTCCTGGAACTCACTCTGTAGACCAGACTGGCCTCGAACTCCTGGAGATCCGCCTGCCTCTGCCTCCCAAGTGCTGCGATTAAAGGCCTGCACCACTAGACCTGGTCTTTATTTTCACTTTTGAAGCCAATGTTTATGGTGGCATGTCACAAACTCTACAGCTACAGAAGGGGTGGGGGGCAAGATTCTAACTCGGCAGCTTCTCTCCAGAGTCTAGGTTCTTACTCATTTTATTACACCCCTTGGTGGTCTAATAAATTTTGTGCAGTAGAAGACAAGTTGTCTTCTGGGTACCAGAAGCAATAAAGCCTGCACATCAGTCTTGGTTTTTAGTCGTTACCTTTTATTCCACATCATTGAATTTGCCAGGCCATATACACTTAAATACACGTGTCTGGTCTGGTCTCTGTTCTACATAAGATCTCGTGCGTAAGTGAACTTCTCAGTCTTAAGAATGTCAGAGGGGCTGGAGAGACGGCTCAGGAGTTAAGAACACTGGCTACTTTCCCAGAGGATTCCCAGTTTCCCAGCATCCACTAGGCAGCTCACAACCTTCCCTAACTCTAGTTCCAGGGGATTCTGACGCTTCCTTCTGGCCTCTAATGGCAGTGCATGAATGCGGCGCACAGCGAGACAGGCAGGTAAGACAAACATAAACTTTAAAAAAGACAGAAAAGGGGACACACGTGCATTAAATCAGGACACTAAGGGTACGTTTTCAGGTAAAACTGGGTTGTTAGGTGGCTTTCTCACTTCTGTGATGCATCCCAGGACCCAGCTGTTTGTTCTTATTATAATCAACACCTATCATTTGTACAAACTGATGGGTTTCACTGTGACAGTTCCACACATCTACGTCACCAAGGTTCTTGAACCGCCACCAATTATTTCAAGTACAAACTGACTCCTTGAAATGGGGATTTCAGGTACATTTTGGGTGCTGGCAACTCCACCTATCTTGGAAAGCAGACTTTCCCTAACTACATTATCAGTTTGTTTGTTTGTTTGTTTGTTTGTTTGTTTATTTATTTATTTATTTATTTATTTATTTTTCGAGACAGGGTTTCTCTGTGGTTTTGGAGCCTGTCCTGGAACTAGATCTGTAGACCAAGCTGGTCTCAAACTCAGAGATCCGCCTGCCTCTGCCTCCCGAGTGCTGGAATTAAAGGCGTGCGTCACCATTGCCCGGCTCAGTTTCGTTTTTCAAACATGAAAGTGTTACTATACTTCAAAAGGAAAACGTACAGACACATTCAGGGCCGATTCTGTTGTACATTCATTATCATTGTTATGGCCTTTCAAAGGGCAGAAGGATGGGGTTTTGCACTTCAGTTCGTACGGGTCCGACTCCCTAAAAATGCTGGCCCGGTTTCATACGTCCATGACTTCCTTTTCTAGGGTTCCTGTAATGACTGCAATTTGAAAGGCAGTGCGATAGACAATTAACCCTTTTCTCCTGGTCCGATTTTAGGGAGGAAGCTGTTCGTGAAGTTAAACAAAATAAAGGACATTTCATTGCCAAATCTTAACCAAAGCAATCGGGACAGGAGAGGCATGCAACCGGACACTACGTGTTTCTCGGCACCTCGCTGCACAGACAGCCCTGATGAAGGATCCCAGATCAGAGAGAAGAAACCCCCGCGAGCGAACAATCGCCCTTCGCAGTACACGGGGTTCGCGCCGGAAGTGACGCGCAGGTCCCCACGACCCCTCCCCCACCCCGCCCCCAGCCGCTCAAGGGCGAAGAGGTGCGCATGCCTGAAGGAAGCGGAAGCCCGGATTTCCGGTTAGCACTTGGAAAGTGCGGGTTCCTGGCTTCCGGGTGGGCGTGCGGGGCAGGCTGCCCGAGGAGCGGGCCATGGAGAAGCTGCGGCGAGTCCTGAGCGGCCAGGACGACGAGGAACAGGGCCTGACGGCGCAGGTACCGTCCCCGGCCGCGGGGACGGCGGGAGGGGGGGCGGGTCGCGACCCGTCTGGGGGTCGCCACCGAGCGCCCGGGGCTGTCGGTCCCTGCAGCGAGTGCTGAGGCCTCGGGGGCCCGGCTGCTTGTGGCCAACCCAGGGATTCCGGGTGTCAGTTTCCCCCTTTTTTGTCTCTGAAGTTGTGGTGAATGAGATCAGGGCTGGAACCTGGGCTAGAGAATGGGGAGACGAACACAGACGTGAAGCTACACCGGGCTAAAACGTTGCCTTTGTAGATCGCCCGCCTTAGCGATGCGTGGTTTTTATAAACGGAACCCTTGTGTTTACATGTGATCCAGACATGAGACTTGATAAAGGCTTACTTCCTCCATAAGAGTTTAAAATAGGCAAACAGGAACTGCTTCGTGTTTTGCATGCTAGCACATTTTGGTGTGCCCTGGCACAGAGCCAGAGCTCTTGAACTTGAATTGTACTGCATGAAGATCTTTTGCTTGTTCCTTTTTCGTTTCCGACTTCCTTCCTTGTAGGCAGGACTGTGAACCAATCTGTTAAGACAAGTGAAATCTATACTATGGTGGTGTGCTTTTTTGAGCCAGGGACTACAGAACCCCCCCCCCCCAACTGAAATCTGTATTGTAATTGCAATACAAGAGCCTATACACTTCAGAAACGGCCGTATATATGACTTCTCCAGTAAGAACTGCTTCATGCTTCTGTCCTTGCTCTAAATCTGATAAAGCGATGGCCACAGAAACCATTTAATTGGAACAGATTAAAAGTGAAAATGTATTTCCTTAGGTGCACAGCCCACCTTTAGAGGTTGAGTAGTAGCACCTCTAAAGTGTACTGAGTAGTAGTCAGTGGCTTCTGTTCAAGCATAGCCCAGAAGGTTTCCACTGCAGAAATGGACAGTGTTGAACAGTGCTCTTTTGTGGGCCCAAGGACGTGCTCTTGTTCCTTGAAGCTGTTTCTGGAGGAGAAAAAAGGGTGTAGAGAAATTGGGCAAAGGTCAAAGGGACTGGAGGTGATCGGCGGTAAGTTTGGTTATTCACTCCGGCAAATCCTCAGGTTCCCAAGAAGTTGGCACTCTCTGTGTGACCAATAGAGGCCTCCAGCGCACAGAATTCACATCTCAAACAAGGGAGCCGTAGCAAACAAGCGTTTAGCACAGACATCTCCTTTGCTGGAAGGGGAGCATGTGGGAGACAAAGGCTGCAGGCAGGAAGGGGCATCCTGGGCTGTGGAGCCATGAGATGCTGTCTCCACAGGGCCTGACAGAAACTGCTCAGGGAAGGTATGGTGTGGCCCGCATTTTCAAAGGTTTCGGTCCGTCAGGATGGGGACAGGTGTGGTGGACGTTCAGTTCTTGGCAGCAGGGATATATGGCGGAGGACATTCACGTCACAGCTCCGGGAAGGAGAGGCAGAAGTCCCTCAAAGGGACCGTGCCTTAGAGAGTGACTTCTGCCAACTAGGCCTTACCATCTCAAGTTTCCAGACGCTTCCAAGATAGCGCCACCGCCTGAGAACAGGGTGAAAGCATGGGCCTGTTCACGAGGGAGATCTCGGCTATGATGATTCAGTTCTGCAGTTTTCGTTCTTTTCCAGTATGTATATAAATGCTCTGGAAGAGCAACCGGGATGATCTACCTAAGAGAGAGGCTTGGGTCATTGGAGGAGAGTTCAGAATTTGGCAGGGTTGTTTGTTCCAGTAGTGAAGCCATTAGGTCAAGACTTGGGGTGAGAAGGCAACCATGACTCCCTAAGATTGAAAGTGTAACAAAGTGATGATGGACAGGGGTGCCGTGTCCTGGTGTCTCCAGGGAGGAGCCTGGGCCAGGAGAGAAGGATGCCTACCCCACTGCTTGTCCTGCAGGATGTGTGCGGAGAACACAGGCCCCTGGGAGGGTGTAGCGGAAGATGGGGGAGCTTACGAGACAGTGAGGACCAGGAGGTTTGTGTGTCACGTTCAGGTGGTCTCAGATTGACGGTGTCCATGACGGGTGTCCTGAGTCGTGGTGAACTCCTAGTGCTGCGGGATAGAATGGTCCTCTAAGTAGATGCTTCTCTGCCTGTGCAGGGGCTGAGCTGCTCCATCCTGCTGTTGATGGATGTGAGGCCCAGGATTGACTAGAAGCTAGGGTTCTGGACCCTCCTTAGGAGATGTCTGGAAGAGCTAGTGAAAGGCTGGAACCAGGCCTCAGAGAAACCCCATCCTGCTCTTGGGACCACTTAGCCCCTAGAGTTAAACTCAGATTAGCATCTCAGACCTGCACTGACCTGGTCCTCCTCCTCCTCCCCCACCCATCAGGGTTCACTGTGCTTCCGGCGGGCATGGCTCTGGAGCAGTAGCTGAGAGCTCATATCTTGAGACACAACTACAAGGCAGAGAGAGCCAACTGGGAATGCCTGGACTTTTGAAACCTCAGAGCCCATCCCCAGCGACACCCTTCTAGCAAGGCCGTATCTCCTAATCCGTCAACAATTCTCTGAGTATTCAGCACCCCTGAGCCTCTGGGGCTGTTGTGCTGGATGAGAACATGGCAGTTGTGAGGAGCTCCCTCTGCCACCTTAGTTTTCTCTCTCCTCAGTAGGTGGAGTTGTCTGCTCAGAGGGAAGGCTTGAGGCCTGAGACAGTCAGCTGTGATAGGAAGAAAGCAGGCTGAGAGAGGGTGTGGGAAGAAGAGAGACGAGAGAGCCATTAGAGGCCAAGCAGCCTTCTGGCAGCCAGGAAAGTTGGTGACACACTGACCTACCTCTGTGCTCCCTATGCTCAACCCAGGGAGCTCAGGAGAGCAGGCTGGGTGCAGAGTAGGCGTTCCCAAGTGGAGACAGCAGGAAGAGAACTTGGAATGTTGTCTTGAAGTGCTATGCAGACATAAAATGAGGGAAGCTGAGGGCCCTGTCGGTGGCCTGTGGGGCAACAAGGTAGCGATTAGGAGGATATTTTTTGTTGATGTTGTTTAAGATTGATTTATTTTTTTTCCTACATGCATGTAAGCTCACCGTGTGCAACTCTGATGACCACTGAGGCCAGAGAGTGCATCGAATACCCTGGAACTTGAGCTAGGAATGGTGGCTACATGTGGGCGTGGAGGGTGAACCCGGGTCCAGTGCAAGAGCATCTGAGAGTGCTCCTGGCTGCTGAGCAGGAATTCCAGAGGTGGTGTGATGGCAATGAGGAAGAGGGTCCTGTCAGTGGTGGAGTGACAGAAGAACCCCTGGAGATAGGCTAGGAACAGAAAGGATTAGCTGCCTGTGTTGAATATGGAGATCATGCAAGACCCACCATGTGGGCTGGGGTTGGCCCTGTGAACAGGAGTCCTGAAGAAGAGGACAGATTATGGGGCAGAGTGCTCTGTACTCCATGACCCCAGGGGAGAGGGTGCAGCAGCAGGCGCCCTGCTCAGAGTGGCCCTGAGAGCCGGCCTCCAGCTTCTGCTGACTGCTGTTTTTATGTGCCAGTTACTTGGGGTGGGGGACGGAGGGGAATGCAGAAACGGAAGCTTGTGCAATGAAAGCTTCAGCATGTGTCCTTCTCCCAAGGACTGGCCTGGCCTTGTCCTCTGCAGCTCTTCCTGCAGCGCAGGTGCTGTGACCCTAAGCCTGTGCATCTGGTCCAGGTGCAGAGGTGGCTTCCGGCTGGGTGGTGGGCATGTTCGTTTTCAGTGACCGTACTGCTACGAGTCAGCATCCGTGGTTCATCTTTCGGTCCTGATTCCTTCCTGTGTCTTATTAGTGGGCACCTGGTCAGAGGAGTTGAGTGGGTGGCGAGAAATCCTCAAACAGAGAACGTGGCTCTTGCTTCATGGGGACGTTTTTTGTTCCTTCGGATGACAAGTAAAACAGTTGGCTGTTGTGATGTGTGAGTGTTCCTGAGACTGAGAGAGCTGACAGATGGTGGGTCGCTCCCCTTGGCTGTAAGGAAGTTTGTGGACACGGATGCTGCAGGGGTGCAGGGTCGGGTCTGAGGCTCCCTGCAAACATGGGTCGTGTTGCCCATGAGGTTTCTGTCCCTGCCACACATTGCTGGCTTGTGGACCCCATGTTTCTAACGGCACTAGTCGGTCCTTACGGTGCATTTCTAAGGTCACCACGTGGAGATGGTAGTAAGAGAGGGACGCATACGACTGCACAAATAATTCCATGTGCCTGTTGATGGCCCTAGTATTTGAGCTTAGAAACAATGGAATGACTTAAACGCATAGAGAAAAATAAAAACGTGTATTTTTCTTTTCTCCATAAATTCTAATATCCCTGCTAGATCACACCAACTTTTAGAAGTCATGACTAGCAACTGTTACCACGCTTAACTGATAGTGGGACTTGAATGCACGTATGACAGAGCATGTTATTCTAGTGTATGTGACAGCAGAGTCTGAAGAATGTACCATTAGGGTATTAGTTAAGTAACATTTGGGGGTTTTTTATTCTGCAGTTAACATGCATAGTGTGTGCGTCCCTGGTAAGGAGGGGCTTTGGGTGTCTGTAGGCTTCCCACTCTGCAGCCACGTGTCCAGTTAGGCTGCGAATGAGTGGGGCTGCTTAGACGAGCGTGCCTGAGCTACAGTGCATCGCAGAGACGCTAAGGTGAGTGCAGTGTGTTGTGTGACAGACTCTTACTGTTCTACCTGCTTTTCATGCTGCCTGAGGATGCAGACGGTCTGCTGAGGTAAGGAGTGCTAACCGGGGAGTTGTACGATGGTGCACATGGTCAAGTTCCTGTTCCACCACTAAAAACATCCCTACTGGAGTGTAGATGGTAGTGCCGTCTAGAAACTTAAATTTTGGAGTAGAAATTCCTGTGAATTTCTAGTTTTCTAGCTTTGAACTGCCATACATTTGATTTTGGCTTTGAACACCTGGTCCTCCTGTATCTTCTACCCAAGTACTAGGATTATAATGTGCAGGACCATGCCTGGCCAGGTCTCTGGTTTCTTAAAACACCTACTGACAGCTCATTGGGAAGGTAAGTTTTAATAGTGGACTGGGCAATCTCGAAGTATTCATTTAATTATGACTGTGTACTAGATTGTCATATTGTCCAAAGAATATATAGTTTTCATTTTGTTTTGTTTTTACTTCCTACAAAATTGGAGTAGAGGGACTGGAGAGATGGCTCAGTGGTTAAAGCATTGGCTGCTCTTCCAGAGGTCCTGGATTCAATTCCCAGCATCCACATGGTGGCTCACAGCCATCTGTAATGAGATCTGGTGCCCTCTTCTGGCATAACGTTGTACATGTAGATAGAGTACTCATACATAAAACAAGTAAATAGGGCTGGAGAGATGGCTCAGTGGTTAAGAGCATTGCCTGCTCTTCCAAAGGTCCAGAGTTCAATTCTCAGCAACCACATGGTGGCTCACAACCATCTGTAATGAGGTCTGGTGCCCTCTTCTGGCCTGCAGGCATATACACTGACAGAATATTGTATACATAATAAATAAATAAATATTTAAAAAAAATAAAACAAGTAAATAAATCTTTTTTAAAAATTGGAATAGAATTTGCATGGCATATAGAAATATTGGCCTATAATAAAATTTCATTCAAAAAAAAATTTGCCTGCAAAGTTCAGGAGCTGTGCAGTGATTGCTGTCAGAAGTTGGCTTTCAATGAGCCTGTTTGTAGTGGGGGTCGCCAGGTATGCACATGTGGGTCCGTGCGGCTGTTGTCCAGGATCCTTCCTCACGTCTCCAGCCCAGCGTTCATTGCTGTTTCTCTGCAAGTTGTCCACAGTTACCTCTACTGTACCCCTAGCCTACACACAGTCCGGCATCACCTGAGGCAAAGGCCCCAGTAGCCAGCCCCTCCTTAGTGTGGACATCACTGCAGCGCAGTTCTGGGTGAACACACCCTTGCTGGGCGCCTTCCTTGTTCCTTTCCAGCTTCCCCATTTCCTTAAAGGTTTCTGCTGAGAGCATCCCTGTCTCACTTCCCAGGATGGGCAGAAGGTGAGAGGTATAGGAAGAAACTGTGCCAAGCCCAGCCCAGCAGTTTCCAACATGCTGGTCACCTGGGATAACCGGCGTGAAGATGCATCTTCTGCATTGTGTTGTTCTGCCTGGGCAAGCATGCATGCGCTGCCCCGCAGGGAAGGACTTTGAGACAGACAGTGCCGTGATTGTACCTGCCGGGTTGTTTCCCAACATCATGCGGTTAGTGTCCTGAGAACACGGAAGTGACTGCATTACTTAGAGTAACGCAGAGTCAGGTCCATGTTCACATGAATGTGCTGCCAGGCATGGTAGCACACTCTTTAATCTCAGCACCCGGGAGGCAGATCTCTGTGAATTCAAGGCCAGCCTGGTCATCATAGAGACTTCAGGACAACCAGAGCTACATAGAGAGGTCCTGTTTCAAAAAAACAAAACAAAACAAATAAAAAAGCTTGCTTGGTGTATATAGTGTAGATCAGAATCCTGCATGCCGACCTAACGTCTCCTCTTTCCTCAGGTCCTGGATGCCTCATCCCTCAGTTTCAACACCAGACTGAAGTGGTTTGTCATATGCTTTGTGGCTGGCATTGTCTGTTCAATCCTCGTGAGTTAAAGCTGTGTGTTGTTTAGTAGTCTTATATTGTGCTAAATGAATAATTTCATTTAGAACCAACAAAAGTAGCCTGCTTTAACTAAATGCTTCTTAGATTATTTTGATGGAACACAGTGACCTTAAATAAATATGTAGGGATTGATTAAAAATATACAGAAATGAATGTTCTGGTGATTTGAGGAAAATGTTAAAATTGTATTTATGATACCAATTTGTATTGAAAACTGGACACTCAGTAATTTGGATGTGTTTTACTAAGCCTGTTTTAACTTGGTATTCAAGTGACTAGTTAATTTCAGACCATTTACTGACGTGTGGAGACAGTTCTGCTCCTGAACATTTATCTACCCTGACTCGAGACCGCACAGCCTCACTGTGTTTAAGTGTGCATTGTATAGTACTTAGTATCAACTGTGGTAGAAGCACTTTCAGGTTTTAAGATCACATTGTAAGTAACTAACTGTAATTTCTACCTTAGGGAACTGGTTTGCTGTGGCTTCCCAATGGCATAAAACTCTTTGCGGTGTTTTACACGCTTGGAAACCTTGCTGCACTGGCCAGGTGTGTGTGCTTTGGCTTCTCAAAATGCCTGGTTTGTGGTCGGTACCAGATTTCCTTTCTAATAAGTTCTTTGTAAGTAGCATGTTTCTGTTGACACCCTCCCCCCAGACAGGGTTTCTTTGTGTAGCCTTGGCTGACCTAGAACTTGTTCTATAAAACAGAATGGTCTTGAACTCACAGAGATCCGCCTGCCTTGTTTGTAAATGTCAGTTCATCCTGTAATTCTGCTGTGGGATAACTGAGTACCAGGGTACCAAGTGGCCAGTGGTGCACTGGGGAGCACAGAGGGCTGCCCTTGCACGCTGTTCTCCAGAGCTGCCTCCGGTGCTGGCTCTTGTAGAGCAGAGGGTCTGGGGAGCAGTGCTCACGTAGGAAGCTGTTGGTGCATTGCAGAGACCCGAAGGTGGTGGGCTGTTGGGGCGGGCTCTGGCTTCCCTGAGACCGTTGCTGTGTTGGGATGAGTGGAATGTCATGGTCTAGTACATCTGTGCTGCTTTAACAATACCACAGATGTAAGCAGATGTGGGTCTCTGTACAGGCTGCAAAGTCCAAGACCGGGGCCTGAGTTGTCCTCTGAGGGGTGTCCCCTATGTCCCTGAGGGTTGCCTATATCCCTGTGTTTAAAGGGTCGCCTCAGGGCCTTGCTTCCACCCAAGTGGGGAGGGAGGCAATCCGTGTTCTCTTCCCCCCTCACACTGTCAGATTGAGATTACAATAAGGCCATTGCGTGTCGTGATGTGACCTTTCAAAGTTAAGAGGAACACTGTACATGTGGACATGCATGTAACACCCATACTCTAGAGGGGAAAGCGGAACAGTCCCAATTCAGCCACCCTGGGCTATGTGCTAGACCTTGTCTCAAAGTGAAAATAAATACCCAGCACAGGAGGCTGAGGCAGGAGAATTGTGAGTTTATGGCCAACTTGGGCTACATAGAAAGACCCTGTCTCCAACTAACAACAGAAATGAAGTTAGGACGGAAAGTCCCCAGCATAGGAGGCTGAGGCAGGAGTGTGAGGTGGTTAAAGCCAGCCTACTTCTTGTCCCAAACAGCAACAAAGGCAGCAAATCCACAGAAAAGTAAGGAAGAAATAAAACAGCTCACACAGTTTATTTTATAGCAGTTTTGTGTTTGCGCAGCCAGACTAGAGCCTCTCTTATTCTGTCTCCAACAGTACGTGCTTCCTGATGGGGCCTGTGAAGCAGCTGAAGAAAATGTTCGAGACAACAAGATTGCTTGCCACGGTGATCATGCTTGTAAGTGAATAATGTTCATTTTATAAACTTCCTGAAGTATTTTCTGCATTGTTGCTGTGAGTGAGTACGTGTGTGTGTGTGTGTACATGTGTGTATGAGTGTTTCTCTTGAGCAGTGTTCTTGAGGCTGTGAGATTCGAGTTTGACTTCCACAGTGTTATCTGTTGTGATTGGCTGGGTGGCACCTGCTTCCTGTTGCATGCGTGCTATGTAGGTGGAGAAGTTAGGAAAATCAGAGTTGGTTATTTTCATTTTTAACCCTACACCTGTGGGATGTCTGCTCTTTAGAGGGAGAAGAAAAAGAGGGATTCTCAGTCCATTGGGTCTTCTCAGGAAGAATTGGAATTATAATTGCTGCCTTGCCTCCTCCTGTTTGCTGAGTTGCCTGTTGTAATGGTGTAGCACTGACCGTGACTGTTGCTCAGTGCCCTTAGTGTTCACTTTAGCTTGAGTTTAGGGGCGAACAGAAAGCGTACACTGCACTCATGGCGAGAGTCTTGGGGTGTACTGTAGGAGGAGGCTGCTTGTTTGTCCCGGCCAACCAGAACCGAACTAACCACACAGAAACCATATTATTTAAATCACTGCTTGGCCCATTAGCTTTAGCTTTTTAGTAGCTAACTCTTACATATTAGTTTAACCCATCTCCATTAATCTTGTATCACCACAAGGTCATGGCCTACCAGTGGCAGCTCCATGGCTTCCCCTGACTCCACCTCCTTTCTCCCAGGATTAGTTTTCCCCGCCTAGCTCTGCTCCCCCATAGCTCTGCTATAGGCCCAAAGCAGTTCCTTTATCAATGGTATTCAAGCATACAGAGGGAAATCCCACATCGGTGTTTGTGTAGAATGGTCAGGGAACCCAGGCTCTCATCTTTCCTTCCTTGTCCACTTGTTCTGATGTGGAATTCTTAAAACATTTATGATGCTTACAGAAATTAAGTTCCAGCCTTAGTTTGTCCCTTTTCCTCTCCTTTAAGAGTGGCTTTTCAAACACAAGCAGCCTCTGTAAGTTTCTAGATAGAAAATGTTTAACTGTAGTTTGTCGTTCTTTCAACTCAGACTCAATTTGGCTTACTTTTATTTTCTGTGTCTTTATTCAACTCGAGTTTGATTTCCATCTTTATAGCTTAGGTGACTGAGTGTCCTAGGTCCACCTGTGTCAGCTCGTGTACGTACCTTTAACTCCATCTCCCCTCTAGGAAATACCTCGCTCTTCTTACTTGTCTTTCTTGTACTGTGTTTAGGGGTTCCTTATTGGTGATATCTTCTCAGTTAGGATTAACCTTCTTAGTAGTGCACCGTGCACATGTGTGTTCAGCTGGTAACGTTAGAAGGCTGGCACCATAAAGCATCTCTTTGGGGATGCTGGCTGTTCACATGGCCACCCTGGCGGAGTTTGAGTCATGCTGTTTCCGGGAGAGTGTTGAATCTGAGCTGAGACTCTGCCTCACAGAAACAGTGAAGACAAGCCCACTGCCCCAGTGCAGACCAATGGCCGCCCTTGTAGCCCCCTATCTTGTTAGAGGAAAGCTGAGCCCAAGACAGGCCGTCTGAGAGAGCCCTGGCCTCTGAGCTGATGGGAGCAGCCTGGGATCCCATCAGGCCTTCCTGACGTGGACTCCCGTGTCTGTGCTCCCTAGCCTTGGTGACATGGCAGGTTGTGTGTGCAGTCTCCTGTGTGAGGAAGCCGTGTCCATCACTGTAAAGAGAGCGTGTGGAGCATGCTGAAGCAGCTGGCACTGCCAGTCTCTGCTGTTGGCGCTGTTGTGGGCATCAACGCAAGAGCCAAAGGAAAGACCTCTTTGCTCTAAACTTTATTCTCCTAGTGCTTCCCTTTGCTGGAGCAGGGGATACTGCAGAGGGTTTGTGCATTTTTATTGGCCCTGCAGAACCTCAGGTTTCTCACTAACCCTTTCCTTCCTTGTAGCTGTGCTTCGTGTTCACCCTGTGTGCTGCGCTGTGGGTAAGTGACGTCAGCCGCGCTGGCTTTGCCGGCAGTTCCAGCTCCACCATTCTCTTAGACTGTGTCATAAGCCCTTCAGAGTAGTCGGTGTCCCTGAAACAAGGCCAGAGACATCCTGCTGGCTAGATGTGAGGTGGGTCTGCTGTCTACAGCCCACAGAAGTTATATTATGTGTAGGTCCCTGTGACAACACCCGTGCTCTGACAGCAGCCAGACTGGGAACTCAGCAAGGTGTGTCCTCAGCTTTGCCTGCTGCAGACTCTGTGATCTGCGAGCCTCGAGGTGAAGCAGTGTGGCTGTAGGCCAGACCAGACACGAAAGTGTCTCCATCAGGGCCAGGTGTGCTGGTGATGTCTTTAGTCACTCCTGGGAGGCAGAAGCAGACAGACCTGAGTTTGAAGCTAGCTAAGGGTTCCGTATGTGTGTAGGTGTGCCACAACACACAGACGGAAGTCGGAGGACAACTTGCAAGAATCAGTTTCTCTCTCCAAAATGTGGGTGCCAGAGTTAAACTCAGCTTGTCAGGCTTGGCAACAAGTGCCTTTACCCACTGATTCATCTTGCTGCCCCCCCCCCCCCCCCCCCCCCCCCCCCCCCCCCCCCCCCGCCCACCATCTTCCCCCAAAGACTGGGAGTTCTCAAGTCAGTTACATAGAGCATAGTAGGGACTTCAGATAGCCCAGGGAAACTGCAGTAGTGCGTTTGTCCTTTAAAAACACCGCGGGAAGCCAGGCATGGTGCTGCTTGCCTTGTTCCCAGTATGTGCGAGGCTGAGGCAGGAGGATTGCTGAAGGTTCAAGATCAACCTTGGCTGTGTAGCGAAAACATCTGCAAAAACCAAAAAAATCTTGAGAAGGAGCAGGGAGGCATAAGTAAATTTTATTTGGGATTCTAAATGTTTTTGCAAAGGTTCTGTCAGTTGATGGTAGAGTTCTTATTTCCAGCCTCTGCACTTGATGGTGTGTCTCTCATAGCATTTAAGATAATAGAGATGGCATTGGAAAGGAAACACACTTTCATGGATGATGTTTAAGGTTCTTAAATACATAGGGATAAAGTTTAATAAATAGAGCTATCCATTTTAAAGGGAAGACTTGCCTGATCATAACGATTCCCGTGTGTTGTTTGTTGCTAGTGGCGGAAGAAGGGGCTGGCCTTACTCTTTTGCATACTGCAGTTCCTGTCGATGACCTGGTAAGTCCTCTCTACTAGCTCCCAATGAAAGGGGTCTAGGACATTAGAATCATTGTTTGGGTCCTGGCGAGGCCTAGAAAAGAGGGCCAGAGGCCCATTCTGGACAGTGCGTCACTGGTACTTTTGGGTGCACTAGCTGTGCGGCGGGCTACTGTGGGAAGAGAACTGGTCAGTTCTCATAAGAGGAAAAGTGCAGGGTGAGCCCAGGGCTGTCAGGTGCCCCGGGCATTCTGCTCTCTGTTGCTGTGTGACTCCTTCCAGTCCGACATCCTCTTCACAGCCGTACTCTGCCTCTGCCCGCCTGCCTGGAAAGCAGCTCCTCACCCCACTTCCTGTCAGGCTGCAGTGCATGCTCCCCTTGCCCGCCCCCTTCCCAGTTGTGTTGTTTTGAGTCTCCTGTTGTCTGTCGCCAGCTGGGCTCAGCTCTTCTGGCTCGGTTCCTACCTTTCCACTGTATTCCTGACTCACCATGTAATGTCACTTGACTCATTGACATGTGAAGAACTTAAGCTAAGGGCACTGGCTACTGTCTTAAGATTTGGTTTCTGTTTAATGTGTGCTTGGTTTGCTTTTCTCCAGGAAGATGTCACCCTTTCTTAGAAGTTTCAGCGCCTGCAGGAAGACAGGAGGGTAGTTAATTCTTAGAGGTGTTAGCGTCTGCTGGAAACACAGAAAGACAGTTCTTGAGATGTTAGCATCCACGGGAGGACAGGAGGGTAACTTCTGCGGAAAACTTTGGCATCAGCATCCCTGCATTTTAAAACATCATCTGTTGAGGGTGAAGCTCAGTGGAGAGTATAGTAGGAGGCCACTTGTTGGTTACCGGCTGCTCAGCCCCAAAATAACCACACAGAAACTGTATTAATTAAATCACTGCTTGGCCCATTAGCTCTAGCTTCTTATTGGCTAACTCTTACATCTTAATTTAACACATGTCTATTAATCTATTAATGTGTATTGCCATGAGGCTGTGGCTTACCGGTTAAAGTTCTGACATCTGTCTTCCGGCTGGGCTACATGGCTTCTCACTGACTCTGCCTTCTTTCTCCCAGAATTCAGTTTAGTTTCCCCACCTAGCTCTGCTCTGCCCTATCACAGACCCAAAACAGCTTCTTTATTAACCAAAGGTATTCACAGCATACAGAGGGGAATCCCATGTCAGGAGAGGACCTGGGTTCCATCCCCAGCACAGCAAAGCAGAACCCCACAATTAATGGTTGACTCTGTTGCCTGAGACTGGAGTCACAGTTTGAAAACCACTGTCCTATATTCTGTTGCTGAGTGGGCTGTGTGGTAGATGTGGCCAGCGGGAATAGGGGCTGCGTGTAGAAGGAGTGTCACCATGCTTGACTCTCTCTTGCAGGTACAGCCTGTCCTACATCCCGTACGCAAGGTGAGTGTCTCTGCATTTCATCTTACTCCTCCTGGTCAAGAGTTGAAATGAACTTCCACACTGAGGTGTTTATGGCTGGGCATAGTGGCTCATACCCTTAATCCCACTTTGTGAGTTCAAGGCCCATCTGGTCTACATAGTGAGCACCAGGCCAGTGAGGGCTACATGCTGAGACCCTGTCACAACAGCAAAATATGTAGGAGGCTTTTTAATTGACTTTGACTTTGTTACTTTAAGAAAGCTAGTTTAAGCAAGACTTTTAAAAGCTTGACATATGAACTACTTCATATGAGCATCCTGATACATGTCACAGGTGGAATGGTGCTTGCTCCCGCCTTGGTATGTGAACACTGACAGGCTTTGGAATCTGGATCTTTCTGTTAAGAAACTAAGAGGCAGAGACTACAGCAAGGCCAATTCTACTTTGGAAAATCATGGGGAGTCAAGGCGCAGTGCGTTAATGTTCTCAGCGAGCAGGACGCTCACTCTTCTATGGGTTGGGGTCAGGTGTGATAGCAAAAGCCTTTGGATTCTACTGTCCAGCCCAGACATGAAGCGTTTCTCGTGTCTACACATTCCTACATTCTTCCTTGCTGGCTCCAAGTGCTCTTCTAGTGGAGCCTAGTGATTAGTTGGGGAAGAAAAGCACGACTTAATTCCAGCCTTAAACCTGATAGATTTTGAAAAAATGATTCTAGTGTGGTAGGGTTGTCTCTGTGGAATCTGAAGACACCTTATATATTTAAAAACCAGCAGAATTAGATTCCTAGTATGAACAATTACATACTTAGGAAGAAAATCTGTCTTTATTCTAGTTCTCATGATTATTTTTGACAAACACTTGAAGAATAACAAAGCAGTGTGAATTGCAGGAAGGAGGCTCAGGGGCAGCAGCAGAGGTGACGGCTGAGCTGGAGTCACAGGGGCTGGCTGAGGAGAATTGCAGTGTTACCAGTGTGGAGGAAACAGTGTCAGTGAGACGCATGCCCTCTGGTCTCCAGATCACAGCTCTTCAGATAGCATAGCTGCTAGAAAGTGACCGTGTTCCCCAGAATTTAAGGCTCCTGTGTTGCTTAAGAGCGGCGGGGCTGCGTCCCCGGCACCCTGCCGCCCGCATGGCTAGCTTATGCCTGAAATAATTACACGGAAACTGTATTCTTTCAAACACTGCCTGGCCCTGCTAGTTCCAGCTTCTTATTGTCTAGCTCTTACATATTGTTCTAACCCATTTCTAATATTCTGTGTAGCCCACGAGTTGGCTTACCAGGGAGGATCTTAACCTGCGTCTGTCTGGAGCGGGAGAACCATGGCGACTCCTGACTCAGCTTCTTTGTCCCAGCATCCTGTTCTGTTTACTCCGCCCACCTAAGGGTGGGCCTATCAATGGCCTATGTTCTGTTTACTCCGCCCACCTAAGGGTGGGCCTATCAATGGCCTCCGCCCACCTAAGGGTGGGCCTATTAATGGCCTATGTTCTGTTTACTCCGCCCACCTAAGGGTGGGCCTATCAGTGGCCGAGGCAGTTCCTTTATTAGTAAGAGACCACTCCCACATCCTGAACGGGGCTGCGGGCAGCATGAAGAGTACACACCAGATCTCATTGCTGGCCCTCTTTCTAAGGCATGCTGTGTAAGGGCAGACACTGGGAGAAGGCGTGAGAGCTGCAGTTTATCACATTCTTTCGGGGTTGCTTAGAATGCAGGGGTAAACATTTTCCCGTAAAAATGTCTGCTTTCTGCACTCTGCAGCAAATAATGTTGCTCAGCCTTTCCCCACCACGACGCCCTGCTGCTATCTGGCCAGAGCCGAACCTGGGAAGGTCCAGAGAAAGAATCTGTGTAATCTGGTAAATAACCAGAGCAAAGACTGAAATAGCCAGATTGCACATAGAAGAGGGGACAGGGCGGCTGGCTGTTCTTAACAGTGTACACTGTAAAAACACCAACGAGAGCAGCCTAGGGAAGGAGAAGACTCATTTGGCTTCCATGTCCAGGTCTCAGCTCATCATAGAAGTCAGGGCAGGCACTCAGGCAGCAGGGATGGTGGAGGATTCCTGATTGCTGTCTTGCTCGGGAACTTAGGTTTAGCCAGCTTTCTTAGAAGACTCAGGACTGCTTCCCAGGGACCAGAACTGTCCACAGTGGACTGAGTCCTCTTCTCTCAGTAATCAAAACAGTCCCCCAGAGACTTACCCACAGGCCGGTCTGGTGGGAGCAGCCCTCAGCTAAGAGTTCCTAGATGATTCTAGAATGTGTTGATTTACAGTTAAGCTTAGTAGGGCAGTGGGCCTCTCTAGTTCAACCCAGCTTGTTTTCCAACAAGGGGCAGGATTCTTCTGTGCTTCTCTATAGCTGAATAAAACCACATTGTGAGGGCGGGGAGATGGTTCAGGGGTGCTAGTACAAACCCCTGTGGTAAATACCCTTTCCAAGATTAGCAATAATATTCTCAAAGCCCTGGCAGATATCTTAAGTGATTCCCAGCAGAGCTTTGGTTCCTCGGGATGTGCACATCACTGCCGTCTCTCTCCTCAGGGACGCGGTGCTCAAGTGCTGCTCCTCGCTCTTCAGCTGAACGGCCGATCTGCTCTCATGTGCGCCTTCACAGCGATCACTCCGGAGACGGCGGCAGCCTCAGCCCCTGCGTGTGCTGGTGCACTGCACCTCTAGCCTCTGTTTGCGGCCATTAACCTCCTCTTCCAGAGACAAGGAGGTTGTGACCCTCGCCACTTGTAAATAATTTTACTAGATGTTAATCTTTCCAGACAGCTTTTGAAATGTGAATATTTAAGGTGTAAACCTGTGTTGTAAGATATATCCAACTTATTTGGCTTTTAAATGTTCTACAATTTAAAAAAAAACTTTTTTAACTTTAAAAATGTGAAGCTTTATATATTTTAAGCTTAAAATTACTTATTACATGTAATGAAAAGTAATATATGAATCTTAACAGTTTTGAAATAAACCTCTTGGAAATACACTGTTTTCTGGATCAACTTTATAATACTTTAAGTAGCTTAGTTCATTGAAGTTCAGCTTCCAGTGGTGGGATTAGAACTAACCCAGCCTCAAAACCTTCATCCTGCCCGTAAGATATGCTGGAGCAATGGAGGAGGCGCAGAAGTTATGGGAGTGGCCGGCCAGTGACTGGTCTAATTTGAGGTCCGTGCCACAAGAGGGAGCCCATGTAGGACAGTGTCTGGATAGCCCAGAGACCTAAGATTTAAAAAAAAAAAAAATCAATGAAATGATTGTTAATGATATTCTGCAATACTCAACGATCGGTGCCTAGCCCAGTTGTCATCAGAAAAACCTACAGCCGCACACAAGGCGGAGAAAGCCCAAATTGGAGTTCTGCATTGGGTCCTTCCCCTTGTCGCCCTTGGGGCATCCAGTGTAGTATAGCGTAGCTGTCAGGACCTGGGGACTGGTGCTGTGGCTACTTGGGTTTCTAGCAGTAAGCAGAGCTGGACTGGCAGGATGCTACAGAGACCAGGCCCGGGCTAAGCCGTTTGCAAGCTGCTTTGTCTTCACGCACACTGGTGTGGCCTAAGAAAGCACAGGCTTCGCTCTGCTCTTCCCTGAAAGCTGCCCTTGCCAACTCCTGAGGGATAAGACTGTCAGGAAGGCTGCGAGGCCATTTGGAGGAGGAGTGCCCGTATAAAGCACCAAGGCCAGTGCTCATTTTCCTGGCTCCACGGAGGGAAACGACTTAAAGACATTGCCGTCTATAATGAGATCTGGGCCCTCTTCTGGCATGTGTATACATAATAAATAAATAAATTTAAGTTGAAAAACTGGGGTTAAGGAGGCAGGTTAAACTCCCAACCTGTGGGGAAAATATTAGCATTGAATTTAATATAACACAGTGAGTGAAAATTGCCTGAGTGGTGCAGTTGAACTAAAGTTCAGGGCTGGTTTAGGTGAGATTTTTGCCTGCTTATTGCTATAATGAGTTTGATGATTTAAATTAAAATACAGAAATGGGGCTGGAGAGATGGCTCAGTGGGTAGAGCCTGTGCTGTGCAAGCAAAAAAGGACTGGAGTTTGACCCCCAGCACCCACATAGCCAGTGCTCCCAGAGGCAGGCTTGCTAGGGCAAGCTAGCCAATAGACTAGCCAATAGACTAACTCAAGGTTCTCTACTAGATTCTGCCTCAGTGAAGAGAGCAATCAAGGACGATGCCCAATGCCAACCTCTGGCCTACACCTGCACACGGAAGTGTGCCACACACATGCAAGCATGCATGCACACATGCAAGCATGCATGCACACATGCATGGGAAAAGTGAAGTCTGAAGAAGACAGTTGAAGTGTAGTGTCTGGGATAGCTGGGAAACCCATGTATTTAGGATGTTCTGAACTTTTCCAGACATCCATTCAAGTGTAATGTGCCTAGGTAAAGCCAAGAAATTGTGAGAATGATGAAATGCTTAGAATCATGGTCTTGCTTCCTGGTGTTGCCATCTGATTACTGCCCAGCTTTTCCCCTGCTGACTCTGGAGGTGTGGCCTTGCAGGTGTGTGCACATCTGTGGCTCATCTGGGGGTTGGTCTGTCACCGCAGCTGGGGTGCCTTTCTTCAGGCAGTGTTGGAGGAGGGCCCACTTGTTCGCCCCAGCCGCTCAGAACCTAAATAATCACACAAACCATATTATTTAAATCACTGCTTGGCCCATTAGCTCTAGCTTATTGTCTAACTCCTACATCTTAATTTAACCCATTTCTATTAATCTGTATATCACCACAAGGTTGTGGTCTACCAGTAAAGTATCAGCATGTCTACCTCTGGCCACGGATCCATGGCATCTCTCTGACTCTGCCTTCTTCCTCCCACCTAGCTCTGTCTCCCTACAGCTCTGCTATAGGCCCAAAGCAGTTTCCTTTATTAACCAATAAAAGCAACACATGGACAGAAGGACCTCCCACACCAAGGCAGTTCATGGTTGTAGATTATTTTAAGACGTGTTACATTTCTTTGTGCTGTGGAACATTGGTTTAATGATGCAAAGATGTTTTGCATTCCTTTATGCTGCATTTGTTTAACTCTGAAGCAGTGTTGCTTTGCCTGTCTAAAACACTTGATTGGTCTATAAAGAGCTGAACAGCCAATAGCAAGGCAGGAGAAAGGATAGGTGGGGCTGGCAGGCAGAGAAAATAGGAGAAAAAGAGGATCAAGGAATGCAATGGGGGAGGAAAATGCTAGGAGCCAGCCACCCAGCCTCCCACCCAGCTACAGAGTAAGTGGAAAAAACCCAGAGGCAAAAGGTAGACAGGATAATTTAAGAAAAGCTGACTGGGAACAAGGCAAGCTAAGGCTGAGCATTTATAAAAAACAAAAACAACATAATATCTGTGTGTTTGATTATTTGACAGCTGGGTGGCGGGCTCCCTTAAAGAGCCAGAAGATAACGAAATAATAATAAACAATAAAATAACTAGGGGGCTGGAGAGATGGCTCAGTGGTTGAGAGCATTGCCTGTTCTTCCAAAGGTCCTGATTCAATTCCCAGCAACCACGTGGTGGATCACAGCCATCTGTAGGGGAGTCTGGCGTCCTCTTCTGTCCTTCAGGCATACAGACAGAATATTGTATACATAATAAATAAATAAATATTAAAAAAAAACAATAAAATAACTACAGTTCTCTCCTTTGAGAGCCTCCTGCTATGTAGGTGTTCTGAAAGTATCTTTAAGGCTGTGGTGATTGCTGTGTGTATTTGGGCCTGTTTGAGCTGTTTCGTCATCTTATCGATGGGGGCAGTAAGTTCAGTGGCTACTGTGTGGGTCGCTTTCCATGACTGAAGCAACTTATAAATGAAAGCCTGTGGTTCCAGAAAGTTCCAAAGCGTGGCAGCCGGAACAGCTGAGAGCTCACATCTCAAACCATAGCACTAACTCAGACATGATGCAAGCCTTTTGAAATCTCAGAGTTCCCACCTAGTGACACCATCCAACAAGACCACATCTCCAGACCCTCCCCAGACTGGCTGGGGGCCAAGTAGTCAAAAATATGAGCTTATGGGAGCATTGTCAGCCCTTTCTCCTCTGTGTGCTGTGTGTGTGCGCATGCGCGTGCTCACACACGTGTGTGATATGACGAGGTGGGGCGTCTTCCTCCCCACATTGTATGAAATTCTAGGCAAATCTGAATGTTTATCGAAGGAAGGTGACAGAAGCCGCAGACTCAGGAAATCCAAAGGACTTCGGAACAGGAAGTAGACTGGAATGTGGCTGTAGCTCCAGGGAAGATGTCTGTGGTGGGGAGTTGAAGCCGCTCTTCCTGTCAGGGTACTGGAGCAACATGGCGCCCCTTAGGCTTCCAGGCCATCAGAACACAACCTACACTTGGCTCTTGTGGTTGGCGTCCCTTCTCGCGCGTCTCTGGTGGAGCTGATGCAGAGAACCTCTTACTTTGCAATAGATCTGTACTAACCAGACCCATGCTGTCATGTTGGGAGCGAACGTTTTTCCTGTGCAGATGCTGTGTTAAGTTTGTCTGTTTCAGCATATATGCACATTACATACAGATTTTAACAAGCCATTCTTGACAGGTGAAAGTTGACGCCCGTGGAAAGCTAAGGTTTGGTAATCCCACAGTGGGAGGAGAAAAGCACGTGTTGACATCCGTCCAGCACGATGTGTTGTGCATCCTTTAGGTTACTTTTACCCAGTGACACTTCCTACCCTTTCTTAGTATTGTCGCCTCATGATCCTGCTCTTGGGTTTTGTTCAGGTCTGTAAAGTTTCCTAAAAAGAAAAAAATTCAATGTTTATAAAATTGCATAAAAAATGAACTTGTTAACTAATCAATGCATCATGCACCGGCCCCCCCTAACTACTTTAGGTTGTTTTTGTGTTTACTTCCTTTTGTAAGTGTTTGCCTGTGCCCCGCCTACAGTGCCTGTGGAGAGCTCAAAGAACAACTTACCGGAGTCTTCCTCCATTGTGTGGGTCCCAGGGATCGAACCCGGGTCATCAAATGGCAGCAAGTGCCTTTATCAGCTGAGCCACCTTGCCATCCCCACTTTGAAAGTCAAGTTTGATCCCCTTCGCTGTGGGCGATCTCCCTTGCTCCAACTGCCACCTGCCACCATTCCCACCAAATGGAATGTGTAACGGATTCTGTAACAGTCAGTGTGGCTGACTGAGTCACCATGGACGCCCCCAGGCCTCCTGACTTCTAAGAGGCAGAGGGAGGCGGGCAGGTGGACAAGTCTGCTCGTGTGTAGATGCTGTTCTCGGTGGCAGAAGATTCGGAGGATCCCGTTAGGGGCAGCCCACATGAGGTATAGGAGTATATATAGTCACTTCCCTGAGTTCAGGGCTGCACTGGGGCTTCCTGCTTCCGCTCCTCCTGGACCTGGGGGACAGGCATGCTTGCAGCTTCCCAGGTTGCAGGCTGCTCAGATGACATGGAATATCCCACCCAGTTCCCAGTTTGGGCCACTTTGGCTGTCACCCTGGCAACCGCTCACCTGCTTCCCTGGGCTCTTACATGCCAGTCTTTACCATTGGAGGTGGGGTTTACCTCCCCAGCCAACAGACTCTTCCTTGTCTTCCGTGTGATAGCTTCTTCTGACTTCAGACTCTCATCTGGAGCTGAGCCTTGTTCTGTCTCCCGTATTTCGGAGCTTCTAGAAGCTCCACTTTCCCAGTATATTGGACGAGCAGTGCTTGGCACAGACTTATGTTAGTGTATGTCAGCTCTTAAAATTATGAGACTGCCCTGTCACCCCCACCTCTGACCTCCAACTCAAATGCTATTACTTCTGACACTCTGTAGCCTCAGGGAGCGATCTGAGCACATGGGAAGCAACCGATTCCAAATGCTGCACGTACTCACTGGCATCCAGGACATCGGGGCATCCAGCTGTTTGTTGGGTTTCCTCTAAAGCTGACCTCCCCAGTTGTCCCTACAGAAATAGCTGCTGACCCTTACCCCTAGCTTCAATCTGTGGCCACTGCTTACATATCTAT